ACATGAACCAGTGCCCATATGGGATGCTGGGACTGTAGGTGGAGGCTTAGCTTACTATATGCCACAGCGCCAGCTCCTGCAACTGCCATTTCTAGGGCTGGTTGAAACTAGAATCAGGAACTGCATCTTGGTCTCCCACATTGGTGCTAGGGGCCAAAGTACTTCATTGCTTTCCCAGTCACTTAGCCGGGAACTAGATCGGAAGCAAGCAGCAAGGTTCAAAGGGGCACTCCCATATAGAATGCAGATGCCACAAATGGCAGCTTAGCCCAATGCACAATCCCAAATCCTATCGTTTTGGGGAAAGAAATTACCTCAAACAAGAAGAGGAAAAACAGCAAAGAAAAAATACATTTTTGACAAATAAAAAATTGCAAATGACAGGACCAAATTACCACCCATACATATTAACTCTGAATGTAAATGGCTTAAGCTCAATCAAATGTCATAGATAAGTAGAGTGGATTAAAAAACAAAACCCACCTGTTGCCTACAGGAGACATATTTCACCAACAAAAATCAGCTGAAACTGTATCTCATGGATTCTGATTTTTTGGTTATGGTTAGTTTCATTTCTTCAAAACACTTTCTTCTGATTTAATTCTTTAATGACTCATAGATCATACAGTAGCATCATTTTCTTCTAGAAGGTTTTTGATTTTCTTTTTCATTTCTTCAGGGACACATTAATCATTCAGTAGCATGTTATTTAACTTCATGGTGTTGTTAATTTCTTTTTACTTCTTATTGTTGATTTTGTTTTGTGGCTTTTCATTTAAGGAGATGTATAGTAACTGTGTAATGGAGACTATCTTATCTAGCAGCATGTTATTTAACTTCATGGCATTGTAAATTTCTATTTTTCTTCCTTTTGTTGTTTTTGTATTGTAGCTTTTCATTTAAGGGGATGTACAGTAACTGTGAAATGGAGACTAATAAATCCAGATGTGAGGATACAATGAAGTGTGCATCTCTACTTCCAGGGCTAAAGATGGATTCCCAATGAAACTGCTTAGTATATGAGAATAGGATGATGGACTCTCTGCCATTGCCCATGCCTGCAATAATGGACATAATGACTGCATATGAAGAACTATATTTTATTAATGATAAAGGGGAACTCAGTGGTGGGGGGAGGGAATTGGGGAGAGGACAAGGGAAATTCCAGGGGCCTATGGAACTATATCATAAAATGACAATAATAATTAAAAAAAGATTTAAAATGTTTTTTAAAAATTGCATGTCAAGACCCCTTGTATTTTTATTGTTGTTGTTATTTTGCTCATTAGGCTTTTCTGACCACTGCTGCCATGTAGAAATGGAACTGACACACATCCTAACTTAGAGATTTTTAAATACAGCAATTTATCAGCTAAATCATCTAAAATTAATAAATTAATCTTAATTCATGTACTTGAAAGGCAGTTATGGTGGGACAAGGGAGAGAGAGAGAAAGAGAGAAGGAGACAGAGAGACTCATATGCCATGTGCTAGTTCACTTTTCAGGTGGTCACAGTGGCAGGGCCTGGGCGCGCTGGAAGCCGGGGCTCCAGCCAGCTCTCCGACCTGGGCAGCAGAGAAATGAGCGCTCACTCCAACTCCCGCTGCTTTCCCAGGTGCATCAACAGGGGGCTGAAGCAGAAGCAAGGCAGGCAGGACTTGAACTGTTGCTCTAGGGTGGGATGCTGTCATTGCAGGGAGCAGCTTACCTTGCCATGCCACAACGTCAGCCCCTGAACAATTTTTAACAGTATTTTCCCAACCAACAACATAGGCTTTTTTTTTTTTAAGATTTATTCATTCTTATTGGAAAGATTTACAGAGAGACGGCGAGACAGAGAGAAAGATCTCCAATCCACTGGTTCACTCCTCAAGTGGCCACAACAGCCAGAGCTGAGCTGATTCGAGTCAGGAACGAGGAGCTTCTTCTGCGTCTCCTATGTGGGTGTAGGGTCCCAAAGCTTAGGGCCGTCCTCCACTGCTTTCTCAGGCCACAAGCAGGGAGCTGGATGGGAAATGGAGCAGCCAGGGCATGAATAGCATGGATGGACTTAGCCGGATCTGTACCCAGGGAGAAGCCTATCCACTCCTCACACCAGCATCTCGTGGGATGGAGACCCATCAGGTGCCCTGTCTCTTCCAACTGCAAGCTTGAGGCTTTGAAGGATTGGACTCTTGCTTTTCTTTTGTTTTGTTTTAATGCAGAGTTACATCCACTGGTTCACTCCTGCAAGTACTGGGCCAGGCTAGGAACTTCAATCTTACTCAATCCCTGTGGGTGGCGGGCAAGGGGCCCACACACCTGAGCCATCCTCTTCTCCATTTCTCAGGCCATTCAAAGGGAGCTGCATGGGAAGCAGAGAAGCTGGGACTTGAACCTGCACCTAGAGAGGTTACTGGAATGGCACACAGCTGCTTGACTAGCTGTGAAACAACTGCAGCCCCTAGGGCTCCTTGCTTATCAACTTACAGGATGTCCTATAATCCCTGTCACAGTACTTAGAAAACATCAGAGAAAGCTCAGCCAAGACAAAAGCTGGTTCTTTGTGTATGCTAGTAATAATTAACCCCTATCAAGTCCGATCAAGAAGAAACAAAAAGAAAGAAAACACACCAGAAATGCTTTCCACTGTAGAAGTATTCAGCAAATGGCACAGTGGAGGCCCCAGCACAGTAGCCTAGCGGCTAAAGTCCTCCCCTTGCAAGCACCAGGATCCCATTTGGACGCTGGTTCTAATCTTGGTGGCCCTGCTTCCCATCCAGCTCCTGTTTGTGGCTTGGAAAAGAAAAGCAGTCAAGGACAGCCCAATGCCTTGGGACCCTGTATTCTTGTAGGAAATCCAGAGGAAGCTCCTGGATCCTGGCTTCGGACTGGTGCAGCTCCAGCTGCTGCGGCTGCTTGGGGAGTGAATCATTGAACAGAAGATCTTCCTGTCTCTCCTCCTCTCTGTATATCTGACTTTCCAATAAAAAAAAAAAAAACTTAAAAAATAATCATAGTGGATATGCACCCAACAATTCCATACCAAGGTGCAGCACGGTGCTTGTCAGTGTGTCTCCAAACCTCTAAAGGGTGGATTGGTGTTTATATTCCATCACCTGGATCTCAATAAAACACAGAGTGACCCTGGCATTCAGTGGTTGAAATTAAATGAAAGGATTGGGAGGGGGGAAAAAAAGCAAATCAGTGGGGTTGACTATTGAAGACTTTTAGAGGCAGGAGGGGGTTATTATTCCTTGATTTTCCAGTTCTTCATTTTTACTTTTTCATTCAGTCAATTCTAGGCAAACCTCCCGCTTCTCGCAGCCTAGTGAAAAACGCAAGCGCGAAGCTCCCAGGAGCCGTGTGCGCCATCAGCCTCGGAGATAAAGCAGCCGTAATTCCGCAAGCTGCTACAGAAATGTCTTCCCTCTGCTTCGGCTCACCGGGATCAAAGTCTCTTTTTCCTTTTTTATTCATACTAGGTCCGGAAAGGGTAGCTCCTTGAGGAAAGCCCCCGAGGCCTGGCACCCCGGGAGGAGTGGCCCTCCAGCCTCCATGTACTGCCTGCCGCGAAAGCACGCGGCAGCCAAGCCCACAAATCCGTTACCAGGCCGCTGTATCCCCAAAGGCCATTGCTGGGGCGGAAGAGGCCCTTGAGAACCGCTGCCTGTGCGTGGATTCCCAGGCCCCCGTGGGCTGGGAGCACGGCGGGTCAGGTTACAGACAGGTGAGGCTGGCGCGGGGGTGAGCAGACGCCAGGCGTCCCTAGCCCGGCGCGCCCAGGCGGCCGCCCGCCGTTAGGCGCTTGAGTGATTGCCCTGGGGCTCGGGCGCCAGGAGCGCGCGGGAGGGCTGTGCGGGTTGCGCAGGGCGCACGGGGCTTGGGCTTGCAGAGCCCCCCAGACGGTCCGAGAAACTTCTCATCTGCCTCTTACCCTACCCGCCAGACCAGGTGGAAAGGTGGATGGGAAGGCAAACAAAGTTCCTAGCCGGGGGGTGAGAGGGGGTTTCCTGGAAAGCCGTTTCCCAGCCTCAGAACGGGGGTGGGGGGTGTTTGCCGCGAGGGAGAGGCGACAGCGGGAGTGGGCGAGGGTCGGAGCTGGCCTTGGAAGCCGCAGTTGCATCACACGCCTCCTGGCCCGTTCTCATTGTGTGTTAATTCGGGGTGAGGGGTTTCTCCTGGCGCAAGCTACTTTGGCCGCTAGCCCAGAGCCCTAGGCGCTATGGCACCAAGCGGTAAAAATAACAGGTTCTGAAGATGCCGAGGGCCAGAATTTATTATTCCAACGATTGTCGGGTACACACCCGGTGGTGGACAAAGGGGGCGCTTAAGCCCCGCCAAAAATACCGGAGTTCCCCTCGCCGCCGCCTCCCCCTTCCAGACCTCCAGGATTTCAGAAAGCTTCCCGGAGCCAACCACAAGGTCTCGGGGAAACCGAGGGTCGGTCGCGGGAGACAAATCCACGCGAGGGTTGGCAATTCGAGAGAGGGGGCCGTGGGCAGCTAGGCGGGGAGCGTGTCTCCTGAAGAGTTCGCCCCAGGTGCGCGGTGAGGCTGGAGCGAACGGGTCAAGGGTTTGACTTAAACCAAACCAAAAAAAAAAGTGCTTCTTTTTTTTAAAAAGGGGAGGGGGAGGAATCAGACGTTAAATTCTTTTGCAAACATTCATGCCTTAGGAAGGGCTGCAACAGGCAGCCCCGGCCGCCGGAACCGGTCGGACAGGTAGCGAGCTTGTTGACACCGTTATGTTGCAGGGCGCATGCTCACTCCCAAGTTTCCTGGTGCCTTTTCTATTCCACCTTATGAAACTTTTTCCCGGCGTGGTCTCACCCGCGATTTAAGGCATAGGTGTCGCCGAGCCGGGCGGCTGCGAGTCGCCGGGCGTGCGGGAGCGGGAGAGGCCTGGGCCGCGCCGCTGCGGGGTTGGAAAAGGCGGACGAAGCGGGAAGCTGGGCTCTGAGGGACCGCGCCGTCGCCGAAGCTAGCGGGGAGCAGTCGGGAGGGGGGGTACACCCACCATGCCTAAAGTCTTCTTGGTGAAGAGGAGGAGCCCGGGGGTCTCGGTGCGCAGCTGGGATGAACTTCCGGATGAGGAACGAGCAGACACCTACATCCCAGGTGAGCGCGGCGCGGGGGGCTCCCGGCGTGGGTGGGGGAAGGGGTGGCCGGGGCTCGACTCCCCACCACCTCTCGGGTCTTTCCAAGGGTAGGGGCGCGTGGGTCCTTCCGGCGGGGCGGGGGAAAGGGGGGGACGCCCCGTGGTCCCTTCCCCCTAGGAGGAGCCTCTAATTGCCCGGCGGCGGGACCGTTGGCTGCAAGCGCGGGCCGAGGTGGCCCAGGAAGGGCTTGGAAAGACAGTCAGGGCTGCCCCCTCGAGCCTGTGTCCTCCAGGGGGGTGCTCCGAAGCCCGCCAGCCTCTCGGGGCTGGGAAGGGAGAGGGCTAAAGCCACCCGATCCCTCTCCCCAGTCCATGGGGGAACTTGTGGCGCGGGGGGTCCTGCGCTGTGCACCGCCCTCCTGGGCTCGCGGCCGCCGGGGCTCGGGCGGGTGTGTGCGTGGGGAATCGGCTCCCAGGGTACCCCGAGGCCGTTGGAGGAGGGGAGGCGGGGGCTTGCTCGACCACCCACCCCTGCGACGTCGCCCAACTTGGCGAGGTGCCCAGGTCCGGGGCGGGGCGGGGCGGCGGCGGCGGCGACACCGCCCGCAGGTCAAACTGCCGCGGGCGCCGAGGCCTGACGCCGCGTGTGTGTGTGTCGGGGCGCGGCCCCTCCCTCCGCAGTGGGCCTGGGCTGCCTGCTCGGAGACCCTCCCGAGGACTGCCGCAGCGACGGCGGCAGCAGCAGCAGCAGCAGCAGCAGCGGCAGCAGCGGCGGCGGCGGCGGGAGCAGCAGCGCCGGGGAGCCCGCAGGCGCCGAGAGCAGCTCGTTCCCGCACGCCCCGGAGCCCGGCGACGCCGAGGGCCTCGATGGACACCTGGCGGCGAAGCAGCACCCGGTTGCCAGGTCGAAAATCAAGGTAGGGTGTCGACTCTGCCCCCGCCGCCACCTGCACCACGCCCTGGCGTCGGGCTCCCGGGGCCGGCGCCCCTCCCTGCCGCGCCCGCCTTGTCCGCCCGCGCACCCAGGCACCCGCTTTCAGTGCGCGCCCGCCTCGCGGCTCCTGCACCTGCCCCTGGGCGGCGGCCAGGGCGCCTCGTGCGTCCTCCCGCCGCCTGGATTCTCCCGCACCCGCACCTCTAGGTCCACCCCCATTGGCTCCGCCAGACACCAAGTGTGGCTCTTGGGAACTGCCTGACTCGACCGAGCTTAGCGGTCGAGTACCGAGCTTAGCGGTGGAGTAGCCAGTCCTGGGCTCAGGCTTGGTGTAGCTCCGGGCGGTCAGGGTTCCCGGGGAGGATGAGAAAGGGTCTGGGTGCTCGGAAATCTCACTCCCCAGGACTCACGCAGTTCCTTTTGTCACCGGAGTCTGAGCGTTTCAGACTTTGTTGTATTCTGCAAATGGGAGCTGCGGCAGTTTTTTTGGGGGGTGGGGTGAGGTGGGCGCACAGTGAGCCAATCCCAGGGCCAGTTTTGGGGTGCCTGTCGGACCCAGGTCGGTGCTTAGAGCTTTAAATTTGTCATTTCATTCAAATCCTCTGGAACTTAATTGATGGCCAGACAGGAGGGTTGAGGGATTGAGGGGCAAGAGGTAGTGTTCATTGCAGATTCCTTTAGTGCCCTAAACCAGCGCCTTGTTTCCCCTTGTTGTGTTTTGGAGCACCCCTCAAATGTTCTAGACTTGTAGGCAAAATCTGGAACCCTTCCTGCCTCTGATAAAGGACAGACATGTCCTGCCCCTGGAGCTGGGTGTGGTGGTGTTTGCATAAATGGCCTGACCCCAGCTCCAAGCCTGCTGACCCACAGAGCTGCTGATACCCCAAACAGTGATTGCAAGGGTTCCCCAGGCCGCCCCGCCTGGCGGGGGGCGGGGGCGGGACCGGGAGTGGTGGTGACAGGATTTGGAGCCTGGGGGAGGGCTGGAGGGAGGAGCGGGTGGTCTGGCTGAGCCCGTTACTTTCCGGAACATTCTGGGGCCCCACCCTCCCCGCCGGGGTTGGGAATGGGTGGGCTGGGTATATTTGGTTATGAATTGAGGTTGGAGGCCAGAGCTGGAGTCCCGCGTGGAGACCTGGGCTGGCCCTCTGCTGCCTGAACGTCCACTTACCAATGACACTAAGAGTGCAGGCTGGCTCCAAGGCCAGTCTGGGTCTGGTGGGGTTAAGCGGGAGGGAGCTATGTGCCTAGGGCTGCTGGCTCTTGTACTAGTTCCCGGGAAATTCTGTGAGGTGTCCCACTTGCATATTTATCACCAGGCTGGAAGGACAATTGCCACGTTGTTTGGGGTGTGACTGTAGCCAGCTTGCCCCTCTGTCCCCTGCCCCCGCTTCCCAATTGCTCAGATTCCACTGTAGAAAAAGTAGTGCAATCCCATAACCAGCACTTTAGGTTCTCTCTCTCTCTCCCACTCTCCCTCCGTCGCCCCAGTCAAAATCCCAGGTTTAGCAGCCAGCCCATCTTATCCCCAAAGCAGTTACCTCCTGGCTGGGACTGGGACTAGGGAGGGGACGTGGTCGGCTTCGCTTTTGCACTGTTATCCAGGAGCCTTCATGCCAGTTTCCTAGGAATATCTATTTATTAGTAAAGATTTATTTAATTTTAAAGGCAGATTTAGAGAGAAGGAAAAATAGATCTTCCATCTGCTGGTTCACTCCCCAAATGATTGCAATGATCAGAGCTGAGCCAATCTAAAGCCAGAAGCCAGGAGCTTCTTCTGGGTCTCCCATGTGGGTGCAGGGTCCCAAGGCTTTGGGCCATTTCTTGACTGCTTTCCCAGGCTATCGCCAGGGAGCTGGATAGGGGATGGAGCAGCTGAGGCTGGAACCAACGCCCTTATGGGAAGTGGTTTTCAAATAAAAACTGAGTTCCACATGACATAGTACATTATGGCCCAGTATACTTAACTCACAGAGTTTCTGCAAATTCACTTTTTAAGTGGGAGAGGAGGAAGAACGTCACACCAGGATTAGCTGAGCCAGAGCGGAAAGATACGGGGTCAAGCTGAGAGGTGTGGGTTTCCCAGGCGCACAGGAAGGTCTGACTAGCTTTTGAGAACGGAAGCCTCAGTGGGTGCCTTTTTCTGGCTATGGCGTTGGATGTGTGATCCCCTCCCAGCGTCAGTTCCCTGTTCGGTAAAACGGAAATAGTAGAATTGGCCTCTCCGACATGTTACGTATTTTGGGTGAGACCATAGATGCGTAGAATGCCTTGCAAGAAGTCCGCCAACAGAGACACGCAGCAAGCTTTGTTGATGTCCTGTGTTTTCTAGGAACGTGGGGGGTTGACCAGTGGCGCTGGGAAGGAAGTGTGCGCCTAGGTTAGGAAGGGTGACTTTGCCAGTCGTGTAGATGGCTGCACAATCAGCTCTGCACTGCTGGGATGCTTTCAGCTGCTCACTAGGATTGGCTGGGGTCAGCACATGCCAGCTTCTGTGGGTCTGTGTGTGTACATACGAGCATGCACACACTGGACCCATTTGCAGGTCTCCAGCTGTGGTACAGGTACAGAGAAACACGAAATAGGAACAGTCCTCTGCCCAGCATCCCCGTTTGTGTCAGAATCTGCAGGTGCCCTGATAGAAAGTGGTGCCCTGTTTGCACATGACCCGTATATATACGTCCTCTGCCTAGACTTTAAATGACATTGCAATTACTTCTAACACCTGCTACAATGTGAATGCCAAATGGACCCTTGTTAGACGGAATTGCTCAGGGAACCATGACCAGAGAAGGCCACACGTTCAGGAGGATGCAAGTTTTCTAATTGTGAAACTCTTTGGGGTTGGGAGAGGTGGGAGCGGTAGTTGTACTGATCCCTCAAGGTCCTTCAGAGGTTTATTGGGGACAAAGTCCCTTTGAAGGTAGCCCCGCTGATGATCCGTCCTGACCCGGTGTGGCCTCTGGGCTGGTCTCAGGGGCAAGTCTCAACCAGCCGGTCAATTTGTCCTCTCACCCCATCCACCTCTACTTCCTTCCTTTGGCCTCTTTAGGAGTTAGTTCTTTAGGAGACTCCAAGTTTGGATCCTTTAGTGGTATTTTTATCCTTTCACTGGAGTCCTCCAGCGGTGATGACTGTGACAGTGTGGAGGTGTCTGTTGACTCCAGTGCTGCTCATTAGAACATGTGAAAGGCAGAATGGCAGGGATCGGTCACCTCTCGCCAGTCCCCGCCTACCACTTCACACCGTAGTGCCTCTCCCAGACACGTGCTTTTGAAGCAAATCTCAGATATTATTTTAACCATAAATAATTTTGGACGTGCCCCTAACAGATAAAGACCAAATTCATGATCTTCCCCATTCGAGTATTGGTGTCCTCATTGCTGAATATCTTAAATTCCTATCTCTCCAACACGCACACCCAAGCACACACCTGGCTTAATCAGATCCATATAACGTTCATACATGGACCTTGCCTGACATGCCTCTCGGTTTTGTTTTCTGTTTCTTTTATTTTAAAGGCAGAGTGAGGGAAAGAGAGATCTTCCTTCTGCTGGTTCATTCCCTAAATGGCCTCATTGGCGAGGGCAGGATCTTGGAAAAAAAGCGAGGAGCCAGGAACCCCATCAGGTCTCCCACGTGGACAGCAGGGACCCAGTGCTTGGCCGTTTGCTGCTTTCCCAAGCATGTGGACCCAGTGCAGGAGCAGAGCACTGGGAGCTAGCACTCAAGTCAGCATGGTGACGCAGCGTGCTGGTGTTGCAAACGCAGCGTGACTGCTGGGCTCGCTCCAGTCCAGTCTTGCTTCCCTCCATTTTTTTCCCCCACATCCTTACAAGTTAATTGTGGAAGAAGCGAGTAGCTCTTGCTTTGTGTTGTGTTGGTGGGAATTGTAATTACAAGCAGAATTGTTCAAATTCCAACAGTTTAATATTTGGAAGGGCATATGAATTCTGTCCCCAAGGCAGGATTGAATACCCTGCACTGATCATCTGTTGTAACTTACTGATCATCTCTTTGGATGTACTTTTGGAAAAGTAGAAGAGGCTCCTCAAAGCCAGGGAACACTTCCGTCTGGTCCTGTCTCCCTGCACTCTGTGCACTGGAGCCTGACACAGTCACCCAACAGCGAAGAACAATTCCTAAAGGGAAGGACACGGCATTGGAAGGAGAACACAGGAAGTAAGAGAGAGAGGGAGATGTGGGAAAATGCTTGGAATGGATCCTTGATAACGGCTAAGTTCCTTAAAAGGGGGAAGAGAAGGAATAGAGCCTTTGTTCATTGGATCAGTTTTAAGTTTGAGTAGAGATGAAAAATTTTTTAAAAGATTTATTTAATTTTTATTGGAAAGTCCAGATATACAGAGAGGAGGAGGAAAGACAGAGAAGATCCTCCGTCCGATGATTAACTCCCCAAGTGGCTGCAACAGCTATAGCTGTGCTGACCAGAAGCCAGGAGTCAGGAGCCTCTTCCGGGTCTCCAACATGGGTGCAGGATCCCAAGAAGCTGGGTGATTCTTGACTGCTTTCCCAGGCCACAAGCAGGGAGCTGGATGGGAAGCGGGTCTGCCAGGATGTGAACCAGCACCCATATGGGATCCCAGTGCGTGCAGGAGGACTTTAGCCACTAGGCTATTGTGCTGGGCCCTATGAAATAGGTTTTAATCGTTGGAAGGAGCTGTGAATTGCAGTCCACAGAATCCACTATAGCAGGTTGAAGCAGAGAATGATTAATTTTAATGGTACTTAATGAACCAAAGAAAGACCAAGCCGGCTCTGAGCATAACTTGCCCATCCAGGGAACTATTGCTGCATAGAGAAACTGTAGTCTCCATGGCTGCCTGTCGCTCCCCAATACACCTAGCTCCTGTTAGGGCATGTAATTGGTGGAGCCCGGTCATGGCCTAGCCCCTGGCTGCAAAGGCTTCTGGGAAATGTAGTTCCTAGCTCTCCTGCCCCTGAAAGGGAATGGATAACTGAGAG